TAAAATAAAAAATAATATATACATATATATATATAATGGAGACGGCTCGCAAACTAACGAGTTGAGTATCTTTGAGTTCAAACTCAACTCGAGTTTGATATTGACCGAACTCGAGTCGAGTTTTGATTCGAACTACTTGCGATCGGTTCGACTCGTACGCAGTCCTATTGCTGACATACTACATATGCAATAAGTTTTGTACAAGCTTAGAAACTCATTGTTGACAACTCATCAATAAATAATAGCTACTGCACAACCACAACGTTGAAAAAAGGAATTCTCAAACTCATTCTGAGTGTGAAAGATCAATATATTAAATTTTCTGTGTTTTAGTTTACTTCTGCAGTTCCTCTCCTACCTATATAAGAGTTTGCCTCAGGCTCATGTCATCTCTGAAGTCTGAATTGATAAAGCCAAGAGTAGCAATCCATACTGCTAACACTCCTCCCAAACACGAATCATGCATGACGAAAACAGATATAGGCAAGCAAGAATGAGGAAAAGCTGCTAGCATCTAAGTTTCTCATGCATAAGCATTACCCGGAATTCTGTGCAGGGATAATACCATACTTAAATTTGTTCCAACTTTCTTCCTCAGAAAATAATGGCTAAGTTTCAATTTATTACATTTATGTTGGGTTGATTATTTATTTACTTAAAGTTAAGGAAATATAGTTCATGAAAGAAAGAACATCGTGATTAGAAAAAACTGAACTTCTAATTAACGAGCAATTAATCCATATAAATGTTACTAATTTGAACTAGAATAGAAAAAACTGAGTAATTAACGAGTAATCAATCCATATAAACGTTACCAATTTGAAATAGAATAAATTCATCCTTTTTTTTCTTTCGTTTCTATTTTCTTCATTCTGAGATAACTAAAATAGTTTTTCGCAAAAGAACAAGTCCTATTTCTTTGTGGATGATCATTGAAATGAACGGCCTAGTATTTTACAAACCTTGAATAATCCTAATTGCTGAAGAGCCAGTCTTCTCTCATTCTAATCTAGATTATTATTATCACTAATTTATTTGCTTGAGAGAAAATGATGACCTTAGAGGCTTAGAGTATAAATTATATTGGCAAGTAGAAACTTAAAAAGGCATTAACAATAGACTTCTCTGTAAAAGATACGAATATGAAGGAGCAAAAACATGTTTAGTACGAAATTTGTTTTGGAATACATTGATTAATCAATGTGGCGTTACCTCGCACTCTAGGTTGCTAGTCCTTAACATCAGCGAAAATGGATTGATTTAAGACTTTGGCAAGTCATTAGTTGTATGATGAGTCTTCATTCAACTAGTAATTGAGTTTGAGTGGGTGACAGAGAGCTAATTGTGCATTTTATTTGTGAATATTTCCTCTCTTTTTTTTTTTTGGTCGAAACGGTAGGATTTTGGCAAAATATGGTTTTAAGTGCTACATTTTTCTTATATTTTGTATTTGGTGCTATTTACAAGACTTTTGAAATTAAAAGGAGTTTAAAAGGAGAATTTTCAGAAAACTACTGAAGTTCTAGCGTAGGTACGCTTGCTTACCCGGAAAATCGATTGTTTGGAAGCCAAGTTTTTTGCCAAGTTTGTCTGCTACAAGTTTTTTAAAAACTTTAGCTACAGTAATCTCAAAAAACTTTTCAAAAATTTTAAACTATACACTTCAAAATATTAAAAAAAACACATTTCAAAAATTTTTTTAAAAACTTCTACAATAAGCTACAGTAAAGTTTTAGACAAACACCCAAAAAACTCACCTTCCAAACGGGGGATACTTTGAAAAACTAGTTTTTGAAAAATTCAGCAATCCAAACAGAGTTCAAGAATTTGCGGGATTTGGCAAAACGACATAGTAGCTGGAAAAAGGAATCTTCGTTGACAGCCTCTTGTTGTAGATAATATGACAAAATTTTATTACATATTTTATAAGGTTATGTAAAAAGTAAAAATGTTTTCATAATATTTTTAAAATGTATAAAACACAGAAGATTTTTTAAATAATATGCACAATCGTGTATTATACAGGTATAGGGATGGCAATGGGGCGGAGGACACCTCCCCCAACCCCCGCCCCGTTGCATTTTAATTCCCCCCGCCCCGCCCCGCCCCGCTTCCCCCGCGGGTGAAGTACTAAAATTAAATTTCATTAAATTTTATTATATAATTTCATTATAATTAAATTTGAGCAAATAATCAAGTACTAAAATATTAACACATCACCAAATTATTATTCATTATAACTTCACTATTGAAACTCATAAAAATAATTAAACAAAGGTTATTTGAATGCAATCTAATATGATAAAACAAATATAACTAAAATAATCAAATTTTCACTTTTGATACAAATACAATCACTAAATTATTATTGTATTTTTTTTTTAGAAAAAAGTGTTATTGTATTAAGTGTAGTTAGGAATTTAACATAAATGTATTAATAAATTTAGTATAAAAAATTAATAATTTTTATTAATAGGCATGTATAATTAGTAGTATAATTAAAAATATCATTATATATATATATATATATGTACAATTATGTACATATATATATATATAGTTTTTCAAACGGGTGGCGGAGCGGGGGTTGGGACTTTCTACATTAAAAGAATAGTTGTAATACGGATCCCGGCTTTAAGAAACAGAGAAAGACCACTCAAATCAGTTTTGTGTCTCTTCCCATGAGCTCATACAACATTTGTTTTATTCAAGGGCGTTTGGTAAATGGTTTCATATTGAGAAATGAGAAAATTCTAAGGTCACGATGAATTCTAAAATCATTCTACAAAAAAGTTGCTTGTGATGTACGCTTCGCAAAAGGTCTTCGCATTTGCAAAATGAAGTTTGTCATCTTTTGTATCAAAAATCAGCAACCACAAATGACAAACAATGTCCTTTTTGCTGAAATATAATCAGAACTCAATAAATTCAGCTATACCTTGCATTTGCAAAATGCAAATTTGACGAGTTCGCATTTTACAAATGCCAACATCACTTCACGAAATCCTGTATTCAAAAAGCTTCATTTGTAAAAAACATAAATAAAAAATATTAAATTTCATCATAAAATTAAAAATTTCTCGTGATATATGTCCTACATCACATCACTTGACTGATTACTGGAAAGGCTGTCCTACAACTGTTTTTCTGTGGCAGGAATTTTCATTTGTTGATGAATATTCCGATTAGTATTTGTTGGCACCTTTCTCCTTTTCGCCACATTCAAGTTATTATTGAGGTTATGAACCTGACAATCAGATATGATCATTGCAATGCTTGTATCCTGTCATAGTTGATGAAATTTTCATTTGCGTCAATCGATGCTTTCCTACCATACACCTATTCTTACTCCTACTCTAATATATGCTAAAGGAGAGGGTCCAACTAAATCTACTGAGAAATTGACGAAAACTGAACCACTAGCATCAGACTAATGCATCATGCCCTCATATAAATTTAAACAATTTAAAGTGACAAATCACATATAATGACAAGTGATGGAAGGCAACGTTTAAATTCTTGACCTCCCATTCCACTTGAGATTCAACAATTCAAATGACTGTTGGTTATTTAGTATTTGTTTGCACCTTTGTCCTTTTTGTCTCATTCAAGTTATTATTGGGGTTATGAACCTGACAATCAGACGTTACCATTGCAATGCTTGTATTCTGAAATAGTTGATGAAATTATTGACATCCTGGGGTGGTGATGCTAATTTTTGTTGTGTTCTTAGAGAGGAGGTACTAGGTAGATTTTTTTTTTTTTTGGGGTGCTTGAATGGAACTGTGGCCATATGCCAAAGTGGGCACTAAGTAGTTATATCCCACTAAGTAGTTGTAAATCCTACTTTACTTTCTTTTGAAGTAAGAGGGAAGATGCACATGGATATGCCTGGATTATGACTAAATTGAATAGCCAGGAAATGGTGGATGCCATATCTGCAGTAATAAGTTTCCAGGAAGTTCCAACTGCCAACCACAGAAGCAAACCTGTAGCGCTCCAACCAGGATAGGATTTGCTTGTCTCAGTCTATTTTGTTAGAAGTACTCGTTAAGATTTTGAGTGATGGCCAAAGCTCGCCAACCGTGGGTGTGCTTCCAGTGTACATTGGAGATATGCACCAATTTACAAAATGGTTAGTAAATTAGCTCAGGACACCAAAAGAATTCCTAATTGAACTGCTACTCAAAAGGGAGGTCAATGAGCTATTTGATTCCCATTTTCACCATTGTTCACTAAAGAAGATCAACAAGCTATATGGACGAGAGGTCCTCATATATAGTCTTGATACCTGGCCTTTCAGATACAGAGCGTATACAACGTAAAGCTATCCCGAGGACCTCCTTCGTTCCTTTCTCGGCCGCAGGAGTCCCCATCTCAGGCATTAATGCAGCATCAAAACAATCAGATCCATGACCTTCTGCCACCCTCAATCTCACCCAATCTGTCAGGTCGACTCCTCCATCTTCACCAGAAACAACATCACCAGCACACTTTCCGGTTAGCAGTTCCAGTAATATAACTCCAAAAGCATAAACATCTGATTTAAAGGAAGGCAGAGGCTTCTTAGATGCAGCCAACTCTGGTGCACGATAACCTAACACCCCAGCATCAAGAATCTGTTCAATCGTGCCTGATTGAGTCATGAGTCGGTGAAGGCAGTAATCTGCAACTCTTGCATTAAAATCTGGACCATCTAACAGGATGTTGGTGGCTTTAAGGTTTCCATGGGGAACCGCACGGTCAAAATGAAGATAATTCAGGCCACGTGCAACATCAACTGCTATTTTCAGCCTCTGTGCCCAGGTTAGAGGCGGACCTTTTCTTCCAGGTCGATCTGCAGAAGTTGGGAGTCCATCAGATGCAAAACACAGTTCATATTTCTAATGAGATATAGGAGCAAGGGACTTATACCGCCCTTCTATTTTCCATCTAAAGTCCTTGTTGTATGGATTACTAGTTATTAGAAGAGAGCCTATAGAACAAAGAATGTTAGGGAATTAGAAAAACAAAGAGATAAAACAGTTGTCAGAAGAAGCCTCAAGATTTTCACGGCTAAAAACCCTACCTAAAACAGCTTACACTGCTTGAATTCTATACTCTAATAACCACCGCTTGATTCTTTACTTTACTAAGTAACTAATATTCAAAATAGATAATTATGCACAATAATTACGGAAATATTCAAAGAGTACAAAGAAGTTAAAAGGTTTTGTTAACCACTGGGGTCGGCCCAATGGCCGGGGGAGAGCTCTTTAGAGGTCTCCCTGCTGCCAAGTCCAGGGTTCGAATCTTGAACTTGACAGTTGGGGTGGGAAGGGGTCGGAGGTAAAACAAGAAAAAAAAAAGTTAAAGGTTCGGTTCATGTATGGTCAGTAAATGAAGGAGAATTGTCTAATGAAGGAGAATTGTCTCCTTGAGATCAAGGTTAGTGGTGCATTACAAAGGTTTCAGATAAGCAGCTGATTTTCGAAAAACCAATATACCTGAGAATGGTTTATACTGGCCTAGCTAGGAACAGACACGAGTTAATTCTCTATCACACAAGGCTCCAAGAAAACATCTTTCTCTAGTCTAATGAAGGAGAATTGTCTCCTTGAGATCAAGGTTAGTGGTGCATTACAAAGGTTTCAGATAAGCAGCTGATTTTCGAAAAACCAATATACCTGAGAATGGTTTATGCTGGCCTAGCTAGGAACAGACACGAGTTAATTCTCTATCACACAAGGCTCCAAGAAAACATCTTTCTCTAGTCCAACGATACCTTTAATTCAATGTTACGAAAATTCGATAATTGTCACCCTTTTTCCATCTGTAGAATGTCTTCACAGTCAGATCCCCAAAGACAGCATAATTATGCATCTTCGCTTAAGCATCATACTTTAATTAGCTTTATGAGCACCTAAGACAAACACAGTTTCATAAAACTCCTCTCAGATTAAACATGTTTATAGCTAAAAGCAAACCAGTTCCAAGAAATAAGAGAGACTGTAGAGCACACAGATCGAGCCCATATGCAACGAGGCATATAGCAGTGAATGTGTTTGACACATCAAGAGTAACATGATTTTATTCAGGTAAAAGGAAAAAAAAAGATACTTATTACAAGGCTCAGCCTTTAAAAGTTTATTAAGAAATGGTGGGAAAAAATTCATTTCCGATACTCTATTTAATATTTGCTAAAGAAAATAACAAGAGTAAACTATCAAGCATAGAGTTTACCGTATAAAAAGCTTGCAAGACTTCCAGGAGAAATGTAATCCGAGAGAATTAACTTCTCATGCTGTGTGGGTCCCCAATAGTAGCCTCTCAAAGTTACAACATTTGGATGCCTAATATTTGCAAACTTTTTGGCCTCTTTAGCAAACTCCTTTCTTTGCTTTGCAACTCCTTCCCTTAACCACTTCACTGTCAAGAACAACCCATTTTCCAGTGTTGCCCTGTAAGATGTCCCATGACTGCTCCTGCCCAAGACTTCAGCTGGGGCCTTTGATAGTTCCTCAGGTGTAAATGAGATCGTGTCATCAAGAAAGAACAGCTCACCGGCTAATCTCTCTGGGGATCTGATATCCAGTCGAGTAAGGTTTTCAGCAGTGTAGGAATCCCCAGACTCAGGTGACCAAGAAAAGCCACTGCCCTTTGATGGAGAAAAGCCACTGCCCTTTGATGGAGAAAAGCCAGTTATGGCTGCCATTTTCTCATCAGGACTAATAATCTCTGATGATGAACCTTTGCGTGTGGTCATGATATCCTCAGCTGAAACTACCAAACTACCAGCACTGTCTCTTCCACTGAAGGTAGAAGGATTTTGCGGGGCTTGGTGACGGACATCTTTGCTTGCTATTGGCAGAGGCCTCCTTGACATGCGAATGTAATGAAGGAAAATGGCAAGGAGGATGATGATGACCAAAGCAATCACACAGGCAATTATTATTACCACTTTGACAATAGGTTTAAAATGTCCCTTTCTGTAATTTTCAGCTGGAACCTGGTTTGATCCAGTAGGAGGATTTGGAAATTGTAATTCTGAATTCCCAGGGTAGAAAGAAGACAAAGGAAATTTTCTCAAATTTTCAGGGACAACCCCAGAAAGATCATTGAGAGATGCATTAAAGCTTTGAAGACTGTCAGGCAAATTCTTTGGTAGTGGACCCGTAAAATGATTTTGTGAAATGTCCAGTGAATCTAGGGATTTGATGTCACCAACAGAAGCTGGAAGGGAACCAGAAAGATTATTCCCGGCAACATTGAGACCTTGAAGTCTAGACAGAGATCCAAGTCCATCAGGAAAGTTGCCACTGACTTGATTATGAGAAAGATCAAGAATTCGGAGATTTGATTCATTTGATGAAGGAGGGAAGAAATCTATACTTCCGCTCAGAGTGTTTCTCTGTAGATGAAGTTCTTGAAGAGTAGGAACAGTCAATAGGCTGCTTAGAAGAGGTCCATTCAATAGGTTAAAACTGAGATCAAGGGTGCCAATTTTAGGAAACTGAGTCAAGACTTTTGGGAGGGAGCCATTCAACAAATTATGAGACACGTTAAGGTAATTCAAGCGCAAAAATTGGGCCGTTGCCTCAGGGATAGGTCCAGTCAATCTATTTTGGCTCAGATCTATAATTTCAAGATTACCCCATTTCAGCATTCTAGTCAAATTTCCTTCGAATTGGTTGCTGGATAAATCAATAATCACACAACTTCCTGTCACCAGGGGAAGTTCACCAGAAAGGGCATTGGAGGAGAGGTTAAGTGTTTGCAATGTGGTTGATGTTATCATACTGACTGGACCTGCAAAATAGCATACCTTATGTCAAGCTAGCAAGCAAAACAGAACAAAATTTAGTCCACAAGCTAAATGAATACATGGATGTCAAGTAGTGAAAGGGATTGTACAACTAAGAAAATTTGGAAACACAAAAAGAATAAAGTACAGATTATTTAGTAAGTTGTTTACCTGTCAGGTTGTTGCCACTCAAATCCAACTCAGTTAGAACCAGAGAACCACTTTTCAAAAGGTCATTAGGAATAAAGCCAGAGAATCTGTTGTTACTGAGTTTAAGAACCTCAAGGTCATATACAAAAGTGAAGCCAGGCAAGTCTCCATACAGCTGATTATAGCTCAAATCCAAAACCTTCAAGTTCCCAAATATCTGTGCCTCATCTACAAGTGATCCTGTCAGCTGATTGTGGCTAAGGTTTAAATACTTGACAGTCTCAGAAATGCCTGGTAGGAATTTTTGCTGCTGAGAAGAACTGGCAAGCAAATTCCCACTAAAATCAACGTGAGTTGCAGTAGTGAGCAACAAGAATTCTGAATCTAAATTACCATCGAGCATATTCCCATGCAAGTCAAGCACCTGAAGGTTTGCCATCAGCTCAAACCCTTTCGGTATTTTCTTTATAAACCCATTAAGGGACAAATTGAGAGATACCAAATTCGTCAATTTCATGAAAGACGAGGGCACTTCACCAGAAAAGGAGTTGTCACTTAAGTCCAAAGACTGAATTGACCCAAGTCCTGAAATGGCATCTGGAATTGAGCCAGAAAAGTTGTTCCCGGCTAATGAAAGATTTTTCAATCTCCCTAAATTACCAATACCAGGTGGCAAGGTCGAAAAGAACAGGTTGTCTGATAAATCCAGATACTCAAGGCTTTTGAAATCACCAACATTGTTGGGCAATTTCCCAGAAATAGAATTGTTTGACATTGAAAGTTTCACAAGCATCGTAAGATTAGAAAATACGCTCAAGTCTGCATCGGCCAACAAACCGAGGTTGTCGAGGACAACAGCTGCAACACTACCACCATTACACATTATACCGTTCCAAGAGGAGGGACATCCATTGAAGTCGATCGACTCCTCATTCCACGACTGGAGCACATAACCAGTTGGGTCATGCTTGATTCCCTTCTTGAATTCAAGCAATGTCAGTATGTCCTGGGAAGGAAGTTGCCCCAAGGCACAGAAAAAACAACATGCTAATGCCAAAATACCAATTAGCTTCATATTACCCTCAAACAAAGCTCAGCTCAACTTTCCAATCTAAACTTGTCCAATAAAAGATACCAACCAACTGGTTCATGCAAAAATATTAGCCATAAACTTGCTCAAAGAAACCAAATAGACAGATACCAAAAACACCATGTGCTTCCAAACAATTCAACCCCACAACTTTCACACAAAAATCAGCCTTTACTATCCTCAATAGTAGATAGTCCTTTTATGCGGCAGAAGAATAACCAAAAAAACACAAAATGAAACCAAAACCTCCAGTGCTCTGTACTGAATCTACAACAGAAGATGAAAAACAGAGCACCAAATAGACGATATCTAAATTACTACACTTTACAGCGAGAGTAACCAATGCAGACTAACAACTGACCGTAAAAGAAAACTCACAAAAGCTAAGCAACTTACACAGATCTAACAATACAAAAGGCAGCATCCTCTGAGCATGCATTACCATTTCAGCTGACAACGTAGCTCAAGAGAAGACCAGTTACTCTTTCAAGCTTCAGTCTTTACAGCAAAAAACTGAGCTTTACCCATTTCAAGAACTGCAGATTTGGTCAATAACTAAACTCATTGCCTCAGACCCATTAAAAATGAAGCAAAAGGGTCTCCAAATCTGCATTCAGACTGCATTAAATCCAACAAAAATATATTGGACCCAAAAGAGCTTTGGCCTTCAAGAACCCTAATACCAACACGAATTAGCTTCCAAAAGACCAAAAGCTTCTAACAATCACAATCCAAAACCTTACCGTTTCAGTCTAAATACATACATAAAAGTCCAAAAAGGCAATGCCTCTTTCCCTTCCAAACATTCAATTTATCTCTCTCTAAAAACCATCACTTTCTTGGGTATTTTCTCTCTCTAAAATGACATGTGGGGGAACCCAATACAAAAGTAACAAAACCCATAACTCTGTCTTTGTTTTTTGCTTTGGAATTTTACCTTAGATGGGCTTTATCAAGAAAAGTGCCTTTAATTGCTGCTCATTCTCATTCTTTTAAGGGTCAATTAATTTAATTAATCAATCTTTGCAAACTTTTTTACAATAACTTTTTGTTAAAAAAAAAAAAAAGGTAAAAAGGCTGCAATAAAAAGACAAAGGAAAGGAAATAGCGGGAAATGGGATTTTGTTTTGTTTAATCAAAAAATTTGTCAGCAAATTAAGAGCTTTTCCCCGCCAAGAAAAGGCAGAGAATCTTTCCTTACATAGTGGACGTCAAACGGATTTATTAAATCTTGTTTTTAAGATCGTTTGGTGTCCTTTTATGGGAAGTGATGTTAATACTTAATACTTAATAGTGTGCACTATTCTGCTGAGCTGAAGCAGCATGGGGAGGAGTGTAGTCAGTGAACTATAAGAATGGGTCCCACCGGTGCCCTTTGACTACGGTTTAGTATGTTTGCGTGACTTTTTGTGGACTTTTGTGTGGATGTTTAATGTCAATTTCCTAGGATCATTGCTTTAAAAAAAAAATTTGTTATAATAATTGAGTAGTAGTTTTTTTTTTTTGAATAATTTCATATACCTCCCCTAGATTTCTGATAATTATAGTCACCTCTCTTGAGATTTTAAAAATTACACTTACCTATCTTCATATTATGAAAAGACTGTAATAAACTTGACAACTCTACAAATCTTAAATGAAATGTGAGTGTAAAGGAAAAAGAAATCCACATTTTGAAAATATTTCTTTATCGAATAGCTTTGATCTCATTTCACCTAATACATTATATTCAATTCCTAAGTCATTTAAATGGATTTCTTGTTAAGTTTTATAAATACTCTACTAGTAGGGATGCATTTGTTAAAAACAGTTTCTTCACAACTTACTTAGCAAAGCGAAAAAATGATGCCTTAAAATATATTCTAAATTTGGCTGCAAAGAACTACCTTAAAATTTTTTACTTTGCAAGTGATCCTGATATTTGATTTCTTTTGTCATTTAACTTGTTTTACCAATCAAATAGTGACAATATAGAATATTCATTAGACTTTTTGTACTTACATCATCATTTGTCATCAAAACATATTTTTTAGGGAAGATTTCTGTCATTTTATAAACCTTAAGGGAGATGGGTGTAATAATTACAAATCTCAGGGGAGGTTTCTAAAATTATCCCTTTTTTGTGGTAAGAAATAATCAAATAGTAGTTTACTTCACTATTATGGAATTTATTGAAAAATCATTTATAAGAAGTTCTTTAATATATTTTGTAGTACGTCTTTAGATAGAGTTTTATTTGAAATATTGATGTTTGGATAGAGGCCCCAAGAATTAGAAATTTTGATTTCTAATTCTCTACTCTTTTCCCGCTTCTTAAATCCCATCCTACTCCTGCTACTAGGAAAAAAATTTTAAAATCATTTGGAATTATTAGTGTAATACTTTCTGTTTGTATGTACCGATGCATATGAAATTTTTTTTTAAAAAAAGATAGTCAAAAAGATAAAAAAAATATGTTTGTGATGCGAGCATAAATATATTTTTCATATAATCACATGTCCAAACATAATTATGTCATAACTTGTGCTTATTCGTAACTGTTAGTATTGTAAATGAATGTTTGAACGTTTGATAAAGCATTTTTGTCCTCTTTTTTATAATTTATTTTTCTGTTTATAATTCTCTGAGTCCAACACTATATTACAAACATAGTAGCTACTTATACTATGATCGGAAAGATGTCATTACACTTAAAAGAACCAATTATAATTGCCAAAAAGTTCAAATAATATTTGAAAATGTCTTCACAATTATGATTTCTATATAACCAACAAAAAAAAGAGACTTATTTTTTATAACAATTGTCGGCAAAATTCATAAGATCGGTGAAAACTAATTGACCTGAAACAAAATCTGTCACTCATTCCTTTCCCTCTTCTTGGGGAAGGATTTATACGCTGGGATCAGAAACAAGAGAAGAGTTTGCAATATTAAATATTCAAATTCAGTTGAGTTAGAATAGTGCATTGATGTATTTCTGATGAATATATATATATATATACATATATACATACAATATACTGCAAATGAGAAGGTATTCCTATACTCATAAAGATTTATTAAAAAAAATTTCTAACAAGGAAGGGATGAAATTTAAGAAATTTCTCCTACAGAAATAGTTGTCAGTTAGACTGCGTTGCCTCCATCTTCTCCTCCTTGAGATCATCCCTTTTTTCTTGCAAAACTAGGAGTTTAATTTTTTTTTAAAAAAAACCCAAAATCTATCCAGAAATTACAAAAGATCTATGAAAAAAAAAGTACAGAATTTAATAGAAAACGAAAATACAGCAAGCGTCCTTTTTCATTTGTGCTCGGTCACCACCAGTTCCATGACCAGCAGTTAACCAGACCTAAAGTTAATAGTACTGAAATAAGACTGGAACAGGTGGTGAGGTAGGTGAAGGTGTAATTGATGGATTTGGAAATGTGGGACATAAATAATGGATACTGTCACGGGTTTTCTAAGGATCAAGGGAATTTATAAATAAAGTATACTGTAGATACTGTGAGAATAAATATATATATATATATTGAAATAATATATTCAGACAATAATATAACACGTAAAAATATAATAAATTTTCTCACTCATTAAGGTTTGCGTCCTAAATGTTATTGTGTTCATAGTCCATTTGTAATTTCATAAATAAAAAAAATAGATTAACAAGCACAATAATACAATACATGGAATTGTTTCTGTTCAAGGCCAACTCGTTCAAACTTTTTATGTTTATCATTCCATTACAAATGTCTTCATTGATGGAATTAGAAAACAAACTGTTTTCTTTCATTTTTTTAAATAAAAAAAAGAACAAAATGAAATCTTTTTTGATATACAAATCTTGATTATTATTGAAGGATAGTGATTCATGTACAGATAAGCATAGTGCATATAAAAGGTTGTGTAACATGCATCCCTCAAGGAAAAATAGTTTATGTACATTGGAAAATTGACGTGACTTGAGTCATTCAACTCTTATTTAACATCATTATTTAAAGTTCAATAACCACAAAAAAAAAATTCATCATCTTGGTAAATGGCTTCTTAATGTCATAGTAAATGACTAAATGCTCATGGGTTGAGGTTCGGTAATTTCGGTTTTTGAATATTGAAAATCGTATTCTAACCTATTTTTTCAAATAGGTTCGGCTAATCCAATCGTTTTCAATGCTCTAGATTGATTATCCTATTCTTCGATTGGAACTATCTTCTTCTTTTTTCTTTTCAATCGTCACTTTATCTATAGTATCCTACATTATCTTAATTTAAGGGGAAGACCCAACTGGGTCTAGAGGGCCGGTGGAGATTGAATCACCACCGGACCAGACGGATGCATAGTGCACCCATCTGGATCTTTTAAGAAGCCACTTAATGGACAATTGATGGGAGGCAAGGTTTGAACCCTTGCTTCCACCCCATCAAACCTTAAATAGTTTAGTGGTGATCACCAGTCCAAAGGCTGGTGGTTTTCGATTGGAAATATCTAGGTTATCCACTTTTTCGGCTTGTTTTGAACACCCTAGCTATTGGCAATAGTAGAGATCGGTTTTCTTAGCCTTCAACAAACAAATGAATGGTCCCTAGCTGTTGTTTGGACCCATGTACAGCTTTGAGTATGGCCTTCATTATTTCAAGACCTCCAATCATGTTATGGATGGACACTCAACGGACATGCAAACACAAGGGTCCTTTTACCTATTGTACTCAAAACAGAGAATTTCTTGATCTAGACAGCGATTAGCCAATGAGGAGTAATGGTTATTAGAGCTTTGGCATCTAGTTCTTGTTTTCTTTAAAATTTTTATTTAGAAGGGGAGGCAGGAGAGGACATGAGATGATAAAGCCCGTGACAAATCTAATTGCAAATATAAGATCCACTGACATGGACTTTTTTGGACTATATTCAGATCATAAGTTAAATAGTTCAAGCGGCATTGATTGAAGTGCAGAGATAAGTGATCAGTAAGATATCATTTTTAGTAGCATTTTTTTTTCAATTTGGAAATGATTTTCATGAGCATTATTTGCTTTGTATACAAGTTGCTAAGATTATTTGTGCTTAAAGTACAAAATTCCAATTATCATCAAAATTAAACATAATTATACAATATCTCTGGTGTTTTATTCTAGATTAATGCTTGGATTTATCGTTAAGTGAATTCCTGTGAACATTGTTGCAGAGGTAATGATGAACTTATAAAACTTCTGTTAGATTTTTCACTGAAGTCAATTTGTGGTCCTCATTGCGAATCTGGCAAGTCATTCCCGAGATTATGTTAATAATTGGTCCATGGAGTGGCAACAACCTTAATAGTGGAAAGGTAACCATCAATATCCTAGCTTTGCAATTCTCTTTCTTTGTTAATTTTGTGCTATTGAACATAGTGAGTTGTTGACAGAAACCATTATCTAATCTTTATTTTTGGTGGACTTGTACGGTATCATTTTTCTTAATATCCGTTTTTTTTAATAGATACTCGATGAGCACATGTTAAAATATCTAAATCACATCTAACCTATTATTAAATGTACGGGCAAGTTATCCGGATGGTACTAAACATTTTTAATAGGCAAGATTTGACCACTCAATTATTAATAGTATATTTTTACCCATTAAATTATTAAAAGTGTTGGGTCATTCTGTCTGATTCCATCGTTAACTTTGTTAGATCTAATGGCCTGCACCAATTATGAGGCATACTATTCAGAGTTAACGACAAAATCTGACGAAATGATCCAAAATTTACACTTTTAATAATTTAGTGGATAAAAACATACTATTAATAGTTGAATGCCAAAACTCGACTTTTCGAAAAGTTTAATGGCTATCGAGATAATTTGCTCTTAAATGCACACACTACCTGTTATTACTCTATTTTGCATCTATAAATTTTTCCTATTTAACTTTGCATTTCCAAAATATTAATACATGAATTGCATTCTTAACGAATGCCTAGTGAATAC